AAACTTAAGCTGGACTGGGTTCTCTGCATTGTGACTGACACTGAGAGAGGTTTAACAGGCCCAACTATTATGACAAAAAACAGTCTCTGTTTTATATACTGGATTTTGAACTAGAACCCGCACCACTTTCTCACACTGAAATTTTAAGGTATGGCTTGAGGCCTGCTTAGTTACTGGGACTTCCTTCAGAGAAGGGTGAGAAAGCAGGGAGAAAGATGTTATTAATTGGTTCAAACCATTTACTGCATAAAATTAATTCTTGTGTAGATTGTCAGCATTGTACTCATTGCCATTGGAGCCTGGGCTCATGACGAGAAGAGGGAGTACAGTGACCTTGACAGCCTGGCCTTCGACCCTTCAATTCTCATTATTGTTGTTGGCTGTCTGATGTTTGTAGTGACATTTTGTGGTTGTGTTGGAGCTCTCAGGGAAAATAAGATCTTGCTGCAAGTAGTGAGTGATGTTCCTCATAGTTCTGTGCAGTCAATAAAATTCTGAAAACATCTTGATGAGCTCTCCAAGCTTACTTTTCTCTGATTACTGTTAGTAATGAATTATTTTATAACTCTTTAGAAAGTTTTGTAAACTTACTTGTGAAGGTTATTAAGCTGTGCATTTGTAAAACCCTTTGTAAGTTTGGAGACCCTTTCATTTCATCCCATCTCTGTGATATTTTTTTGACACTTTGCTGTTTTGTTCTCTTGGGTGACTAGTAAGGAGACAAACACTAGGCAAAAGTGTATAACTCCAAAGGTAATGGTAGCATAAAAGTAACTGCAACATGGGGTCAGCGGCCTTGATATCTATATTCTGTACACTATATTTGTTTTTTTTTTAGGACTGATTGGTAGTTTTTAATGATGATTCCTCTTCATTTTCTTCTAGTTCATGGGATCTTTGACTGTCATCTTCATTTTGGAACTTGTAACAGGCTTTGTTGCATTCTTCTTTGTTGACAAGGTATACGTAACATTAGAGATGCTCTGATAATTTTTTTGTAAGTATCCTTTTCTCTCTTTTTAATGTTGATTTATGCCAATGGCTGGTACACAAGGTGTAGAATTTCTCAAGGGATGAGATTCTTGAAAGCTAAACTTGTCAGAGAGAAATATCAGGCTATGCAAGATCACATTTTGGAAGTGGGTTAAGGGTCGATTTCATATTCATGCATTGAAAAGGTAACTCCTGCACAGGAGACTGTTGACTCATATAGTTGATGGAGTGGAAACTGAAGGTTGGAAGTTAACCCCCTGTCACCTTTGCAAGTTTACCTCCTGCAGGCAAACAAGTTGGCCCAAAGAATCCCTCAACTCATTCCAATGCAGCAAAATGTATTCTGTTGAAATCATAATATATTTATCATTAAACCTCACAACAAAACCATACCAAAGTTAGATCAACATGCAAATTAGCAGCCTATTTTTTGAAGTGGGACTACTGTGTGAGTAATTTAAATTGCTACATTACTCTAGTCTTTATTAAGCACTTAATTTTATGCAAGTGTTTGCAGCAAAGCAAACTTGCTTTACCACAGGGGACAAACTTGGTAAGATGAAAGGGGACACACTTGCCATAAGGCAAAACCTCCATAGACAGCTGGAGCTTGCTACAGGTTTTTCAGTAGCTTGTAGCAATTAACAGTATATTACAACTACTTTTGGACAGGTTGCATCTCCCACGTCATGCCTGAGATTAGTTAATAGGCATCATTGATGTTGCAATTACAACCAGAGCCCCAAACATACCACCCTTTGTACCCATTTCAGCCCAATGATTTATGATTTTCATCAAGGGTTATCCCTTTGTTCTGACAAAGCACTAATGCTCCAAGTGCTAGCAGAAATGGTCTGTAGTTGCCAACTTACATAATCAACTCAGCTGATAAAACCAAATTATTATGTAATACCTACCATGGAAAAACACCATAGTTTCTTTAGAAACTTATGCTCTATAATCATCATCCACAGACCAGAAGTAAAGTAAAGAAGGCAACTTATGATGTGATCATGAGATACAGAGATGACCCAGACCTGCAAAATGCTATCGATGGAATACAGAAGGGTCTGAAGTGTTGTGGTGGATTTTCATATCATGACTGGGAGCTGAATGAGCATTTTAACTGTTCTGCTAATACTGTTCAGGCATGTGGAGTACCCTTCTCTTGCTGCCGCAAGGTAAATAGCAATGGCAAAAGTTAATGCTTCTGTTACTGATACTTCTACATAGTGCTATATTCTCTCTTAGAGCAGACATGATCAGGCAGAAGCAATGCAATCATTGTTTAGTAAATAATTAAGTCTCTGCATTGGATATCTCTCTAATTACAGGCCAGTACACATGATAAAAATACCATCCTTTCACTATCAGCAAAATGTTATGAAGACAGCGTGGCAGAGTGGTTAGGGTACTTGACTTGTAATCTGGTGGTCCTGGGTTTAAGTCCTCCACCCTGCCATTCACTGGCTTTGTTCTTGGTTGCCCTAAGTTTATCTCCTCAGCTGCACATTGTAAATAGCCAACTGCTCTGCCTCCTACAAGTTGGGATTTTCAAGCACTTTATGTTTGTAATGTAACAATGACTCTGAAAAGCCCCGTGGGATCGAGTCAATAAAGTATGTATGTATGTAACATACCCAGTGTGTTTCTTAACACTGTATAACTTGATTACAATTATAATACCAGTAGTGTTGATGTTTTTTATTGATGAACAGGATCAGATCAATACACAATGTGGATTTGCAGTAAGAAAAGAGAAACTTGTAAGTATTGGTAATCTGATAAATCTTGAGTTGTATGCAGCTCATTGTAGAGGTGCTGACTATGTAGCCTTGTAGCAGAGCCCCCTAACTTTTAATTGCCCAAGCTTATCTTGTTATTTATTCTACATCTGTTTGCTCACCTAAGCACAAGGAGTGCATGGGGGACATAGCCTTTGCTGGAAAATCAGGGAGCTTGGAAAAACACATCTACATCAATTTAGGAATTCAAAACATACCTACATGATTATAAGTACCTCAAATCTAATAAGTGCAAGTGGTAAACATTGCTAAAATGCTTTGGTTATTATCTTACTTGTGGCACATCTACACAACTTTGAACTCAGGTATGATAGTTTGTAAAAAAATGCAAATCTCAATAATTGCAATCCATCATAAACAATAATTTCAAATGAATAAATATAAATCTTCTTTCAATGGCACAGGAAGGGCCCACATAGGGAATGTAAGGAACAATGTGAAGCAATGCCAGACATACAAAGTGATAGTAACAATAGAACAATAGACAAAGAGCAGTCCCTCCTTTATGTCTGTCATGCGAGTCTGAGAAAATCAAGAAAAAAATTGATATTAGGGTACCAGGCAGAACTCTGGAAGTGAGGCACATGAAAAGTAGCATGAAAATCACTCAGCCATGCAAGGTCAAACTCTTTGGCTTTGTCTTTAGTCCCTGCTTTTGTTTTTAATTTCTTAGGAAACAGAAGCTTCTCAGGTGATATACACCAATGGGTGTATTGATAGTCTGACAGACTGGATTAACAGCAATCTTCACATTGTGGGTGGTGTTGCATTTGGGTTTGCTGTTATACAGGTAATTGTGCTAGAGTGTTCTTTAGCTTTTATGAACTGAACATGGCCAGTTCATATCAGAAGTGACAATAAATGCAATCACCATCTGGCTAATAACATCATTCTTCCTGCTTGTTTCAGTTACTTGGAATTCTGGGAGCCTTTAACATGATCCGGGATATTGATGAAGTGTTGAAGTCACAGAACACCGAGACTGAGTTGAACTATACACTTTAAGAGGACCACAGGGACGCGCATGTGAAATAAAGGAGTAGAATTCCACAGTTTGGCTTGCTGAACCTGTCCACAAAGTCAGGCTAAAAGTCTGCCACTTTGTGTACACTTCTGCCACAAATGTCTGTGAGCAGCTCTGTGAAACAATTCTCAACTCAATTCTTAGAGTATTTTTTTTTGCTGGCATCACACCCTTCAGAAAATCCCATCAAGAGACCAGTGTGTTAGTGTAGGAGTAATCATGGTAGGAGTGCCGTAGAGTTCAATAAATTAATGGACTCCCATCAGTTGATGAGATTCAAGTATTCTTGTACAGAGTACAATGCTTGAATAGTAAAAACCTTTATTGCATCTTCTGATTGCAATTCAGCATTACAATGTCAACCCAAGAATTACATGGACCTACACTTTACTTTAACTTTGCTTTTTTTTAATACTTAACCTAACTACATTTAAAGAAAGTTCTGAACAAATACAGACATCAGCAGAGGAAAGGGAAATAAACACTTACACTACCAACTAATTCAGTTGTCAAAAATCATTCAATTTTCAAAATCTCTGTACAGAGGTAAGTTCCTTAATTTTTAATTGAGAAATCTGACTAGAACAAATAATTGCTGCCACTAGGTCCTATGAAGATTTGCTACAAATAAATTGTTAAACAAATAAATAAATTCCCTATATATTAAATAACCATTAATGCATAGCTACTGTATTATAACTTAATCAAATGTAATAGTTTTCATGTTGGGAACTTTGTTGAGTATTCCTTTATTCTCTGGAAGGAGGTTATTTCAGAAAAGCTTCAGCTTAATTAAAAATAATGACAAAACAGAAATACATGGACTGTAATAATTCTGAGGTTGCAAGCATAATGTGGAAGGACTCTCTCTCATGCTTATTTTACATGCTTGAAAATAGCTCTGAACCTTGAGGAAAAAAAATTTGCTATGCTAAGTGTAGAAGAGTCTTATTCCTTCATGACTAAAGCAAATTTAGTGAAGTTGCTGAAATACCAACAAAATAATTTTTGTGGTGATTATTAATTAAAAATTGTAAGAGAGTTAAATTTTAACAACTTTAAAATTTCTCTCCAAATTCCTAACACTTCTATGCTAACAGGCTACCTAGCTACAATTACAATTGGATTTCAGGTTTGTTGTTCCATTTACTAAACACACAATTTCTATTCACCAACGGATGCGCAAAACATTGACCAATTTTTGTACTAACATGTACAATTTACATAGTAAATTAACCACCATTACCAGTAACTCAGCAAATAGTAACAATGGTGGTGGTTTTCTTAGATTCCATTTCAATTCATTTCTGTCATGATTACCTCTCTTTACACTTTAGAATCAGCAAACATGACCAAATTACAAAAAAAGTGCAGCCTTACCTAACAAAACGAAACCAAAATTTTCACCAAGTGTGACAGAATGCTCTCTAGTAACTTGACTCTACCCAATTGATTCAACCCAAAATTGTTTCATGTAGTGTGACAGAATGACCCCAACCTTTAGGAATGACCCAAAATATTGTATTACCTATTGTGACAGATTAACTTCAAATTAAGTGACCTTAGTAAAAACAGTGACCCCAAAAGTGACAGAATGATTCAAAATTGTGTGACATTCCCTGCTAGTGTGACCCCGAAATTGTGTGATCCAGAGTGACAGAATGATGCTCATGGGCGTGACTCTACCAAACAGAATGAGGGAAAAAATTTAAGATTTGGCGTGACAAAATGACCTCTAATAACGTCTAGTACCCAAACTTTAGCACTAGAGAAGCCATTAGACAAGATATTCAACTTAAATAGACAAGAAAAAGACAATTAAAAAGATAGTCTAAACTCTTGCTTTCTATCTGATTTTCTTGCAAAAAAAACCTAGGCTTAATTCAGTTCATCATAAGAACAGACTTTGAAACACACAACACTCTATTGCATGCAGATAACGCTACCAAATCATGCTACGTCTTCACACAAAACGAGAGATATGGCCGTATCTTTGGGACGGGTTTTGACAGAGCCAGATGTGCAACAAGATTATTAAGTTACTACCAAACAAATTAATCAGTTTTTAGGAAATACCGCGTGCAGGGTTTACCAAAGGATGGCTTACTAATGTTTTCTAAACTAAAGGTTCCGTTTATTGCCTGCAATAATACGAAAGTCAAATAACGCCATATCACATCCCTTCCCTCTCCCTCTTTGGTCAACCTTACCATTACCATTAAGCCCCCTTTTCCCGACCTACTCCTCCCTGTCTAATTCAGTTCTGTTGTTGAAATATTTTGGCTTGGTACTCCCGTGGAGCTCCACCGTGTCTCTGCCACTCGATCTCAAAATCTCTAACGGTAATCTCAGCCCCTTGGCGCAGCGCCAATCGTGTCTCGTCCAACTTCAGCTCACACATGTCCAGATCATCTTCCCCTGCGACCAGCAACAAGGCAGGTTTGCCGGGATGAATCTCCATTTGGCGCGCTATCCATTGTCCATCAAAGTGTGCAAACCTAACGGGAAGACGGACACAACACCTGCCTTTAAGCAAAACATTTTCATCGACATCAAACAGCATTACACGAGCAGTCCCTTCTTTATGGCAAAGTCCGACACGCGAGTAAAAAAATCGTTGAAAGATAAAATTTGTGTTAGCGCGCTGCGCCAATTCTTTTTTCGTTTCTCTCATTTTTGACTCGCGCGACATATTCCGTCAAAAATAAGGGACTCGTCGTGATCAAACATCATGGCTAAATCTTGCTTTACGCTGACATCAACAGCAAGGTTCAGACATGGTTTTTGACTACGAGGTGTCCCTTCGTCTCGAAAAATTTACTCAAATAATATAAAACCCTACTTCAGAAACCAGAAATAGTAACCATTAAAGCAACAGTGGCAGTCTCTGGTCATGTCCCTGATCCACGGTTTTTTTTAAACAAATTTTACAACTTGTTCTCACATAAATCGCTAACTAAACCTTTGGACGAAGAACCAAAACAGCAATAGACTGCCGAAAAAAGACTTGATACCATTGCACTTACCAAGATCCCTGTTTCTTGAACTCACTATCTCTATACTGATTGGACCGACGTACAAACGGTACACAGAAATATCTTTGCGGCCTTCGTGGGGGGAGGGCTGGAGAAGCAGTAGCCTGTTCTGGACGACTAGGTCGAGGAGGGAGGGGTGGGGCATTTTCCGCTGGAAAAAAAATGATTCGTTAGTTGGCAATGAGAACCTGAGATCTTTGCCTCTCCGATTCGCAGATCTTTAGAGGCTCCATAATTAAAGCTTCCAGTATTTGGTACGTGGACATAGAGTAGATTGAACCGAGTACCGCACGCTGAGAGAAAATGGTCATGAAAGGAGTCTGTCAAAATAAACGTCAAGAATTCGCACTGCTCGTTGTTTTGACCTTTCTGAGTTTGTTCGACCAATCAAATCAGTCTACCGCAAATCCCTCTGGGAAATCCTGAACCTACCTGCTACCATAATATCCTGTGGGGCCCTTTGAGGAGCACCTTCTTGGTCTGTGCCTCGGGCCTTGTTGGTTTTCTTCCACTGATGATAAACCTTAAGCCGCCGCTGAAACTCCAACCTGCAGGCCTCCAGAAGCTCAATGTCTGCAATCACCAGAACGGACAAAAAATAATAGGTTTGGGAGATTTCCTTGGTAGTGAATCTTTTTTTGGTAATAGTTACCCAGCTTTGTTTTTGAAAAAAATAAATGCAAAATGAACTGTTCGATTAATAAAAAAATGCATGAAGCGAGTTCTAAAATGCGCCGATTCTGTTTTGTTTATCTAAGATGTGATAAGTATCTTGATCTTGATAACTCTTCGATGAGGACCGTTCTCCAGTCCTAGAGCCGACTGCTATCTTGGTAGCCTGTAAATGGACTGTGCTTCCTGTTCAACCAAACAAGAACACATCATAATGTTACTCACCGCAGGACGTGTTAATGGTATCCCGCAGTTCGGCATATTTCCAAGATGATAAGTCGTGCTTCTTTTTCTCTCGCGGTGGCAGAGCTCTGAAAGAAGAAAAAAAGACTTGAAAAAATAAAAAAGGATGGTAAAAGAACTGAATACAGCACTAGACGCTGGTCAGGATCACAGCCCAGGGAGAGGTAACATCAGGTGGAGAGTGTTTCCAGGATATTGGAAAAGCCGCTGTTAAAAAAGTGTCTTCAGCTCACCTCTGTAGTGGTAGCTGAGGAGCCTGTTGCACTTCTGCGTCCAAAGCGTCAGGGTCCTGTGTAAGCCGTAAAGCTAGTTCCCGGTCTCTGCGTTCCTGTTCAATCATCGCCCACCTAAAGTAAACACAAGTCAACAGAGAACAAATTAAAAGAACCCGAGACTTGCTAGAAGGACGCTTCGTTTAACTGATTTCCAATAACTGAGAAACAGCTTTTTCTATTTCCTTCGTGAAAAATACAGCCAGTTTTTAGCATCATACAATGCTACCGCAATTTTTTAAATTTCTGTCAAAAATCGAACCAGTAACTTACCTCCGTTGTTCCTCCTCCCTCGCTTTCTGTTCTTCTGCAGCTTTTAAAGCCTAAATATAAATATGACGAAAAATATAGATGAACACTACCCTTCAGCACTCACTGACCTGCTGGTCGTGGGTGACACACCAAGAGATGGGGTAATTAGTAATTTGAAGGAAGTGAGAGTTAAATGCACATAAGTCAAACGGCCCGTGTGTCTGTGTACTCATCCTCCTCTACGTCTGCCTTGTGTTTGTCCTTCATCAGGTTCGTTTCCCTGCCTGTTTATTCGTCTGTCTTTCTTTGCGCATGTCTGAATGTCCTCGCCTCAGCTAGTTTGACCGTCTAACTTAACATGTTTACCGCTGACCGACTGACTGTGACTGAGTGCCTTTTGGCCTCTTCCGGGCGTTCAGTTCGTAAAGCGAAGCGCGATAGTAGCGGAGGAGTGAAAAAACGAGAGAGAGAGTTGAGTCGGGTCGTGCAATGAACCCGACCCAAACCTCCCTCGTTTTTTCACTCATCCACAGTTTACTATTTTGTTCACCTGTAATTGTCTGTCAGCCTCTTCTTTCTCTCTTTTTATTCTTTCTTCTTCGTCCTTCTTGCGTTGCTCTTCCTCTTCCAGTTTCCGTCTCACCTCCATTTCCATTCGCCTGTTCGAAAATGTTTTTAAAAAGTTATATTTGGACCTTATTTAACAAATGTGAACTGCAGCCCTGTTCAACTTACATTTTTCTCTCCTCTTCTTCCTGTTTTCTCTTCCTTTCTTCCTCTTCCCTTCTCTTTCTTTCCAGTTCCATCTGCTCTTGTATTTTTCTGAGTCGTTCTTGTTCCTCTTCGACCTTTTGCTTTTCTACTCGCTGTTCAACGTCCTTCAGTTGTTTGTTTAAATTACTGACAAGTCCAAAGTACAGTGTATCGATAGCATCCCGCTTCATTAAATTACCCTGCAGAAAACAAATTTATTTCAGTTTTAAACATAATCAAAGCAAGAAAAAAAGTTAACGAGCTTATGCCATTTCCGAGGTTGAGCAAAGCGCGCAGCCAGTGATATGTAAAAAATCCAGTTAATTCTCTCATATATATGTATCCACAACAGAGTTTGAACCCTGCCTTAATAATTTTCAGCTGGTAGAGAACAGTAAGTTATAAAAATAATTCGATCTTGATTTGTGTCGTATCTAGACGAAAATAATCATAATAAAAAAACACAACAGCTTTGTGTTATAATTTTACAGCAAGTTTACCTTGACTTTGATCACAGCATCATCAATGGCTTGTTTGAGTCCCTCCACGTTTTTAGCCAGTACGCTTTGGTCTTTCTTCAGAGAACCCACTAATCCAGAACATAAAAAAATACCGTGAAGATTAAACCACTTGCAGTTATTCAATAGGCAAGGGGAGGGGGAGGGTTAGCTCGAGTCTTACAGGTTAAGTGGCAGGCCCATAACTGCCTAGTGCCCATCGTCCATTTGTGAAGCAAGAAGGAGTTTGGAGAATTTCTACTTCAAAAGCTAGTCCATCCCCGTTAACCCCCAGCATTTCATCAGGCTTCCCTAGAAGTTTGCCTGTTCCCATTTGAACTCCCTCAGTGAAGAAAGGTATTGTGAAAGTAAAGTATCTTGTCCAGGAACACAACTCAATGACTCGGCCAGGACACGAGCAACTTTTTAAACAATTCTTTTTAAATATTTGTTATTTTATTTTAAATTTAGTTTTAAAAATTGAGTAAGAAATGATGTAAAAAGAGGGTCCCACATGCACACCATCCGGTCACTACATCCCCCACAGTAGAACTTTTACGAAATTAAGTGACACAATTATGAGTGCAAACAAACAAACAAACAAACAAGAGAATCATTATCTCACCTAGTTTCCCTATATTATCGAGTTGCACCTGTAGTTTTCGGATCTTAATGATGCCTTGATACCTGGAAACAGTTCAAAATGATCAAACATCGATTAACCGACTGTCTTACTGTAGAGAAAAAAAAAACCAAAGTCAAAGTAGCACACAGAGCAGGGATTTGAGGTTTGTCAAACATTCGGCTGTTTTCACATTTGTCACCATAGATCTAACTACATAACGCCAACGACAAATTACTATTCAATCGCACGCCGCTTGAAAAGCTCTCTTTGTCCTTGAGGCTATTAATCCTTTGAACTCTAAGAATGGCTGGCTTCTAATTTCTTCTTACAGTACCACTGCTGAATCAAACAGTAAGGTCAGGAGAGTAAAGGAGATGATCACCAATTCAAGAAACTCTTGACTGATTTACAAATTCTCCTTATCAGCACCACAGGAAATGTATGAAGAAGAGTATGGAGACGATGCATACTGATGTTAGGATGTAAAGGGTTAAACTTTCGAAGATGCTTCACAAATAGATACAAATTTTCATAAAACGACCCTGCAACGAAGTTCCTAAGAAGAAAAATCCACAGCTAAAACAAAAAACAAACAAAAAAAAACCGCTGACTTCGTAACTAACTTGAACAATCCTCAACGTAACACCTACCGAGGTTTGTGGCGACATATTGCCATAAACATTTTAACATTTTTCTGAATGCGAATGATAGCTGCTGCCCGGAATTCAATCTTCTTCATCACTAAAGATCACAAATGAAGAAGGAATAAGTCAACGAAAAATAAATGGTTTCTGGAACAACCAAAACCAAAATAATTACGACCGCCTCTAAAAACACAGGAACACAGAAAAAAAAAGTAAAAGAGCCAACGAGGATTCAAAGGTATCAAGACTAAAGCAAAATGCCTCAAGCACCGGGAAAATGCGACTGACCCATTGATTTAACTTGGTGCGAGTTTGCTGAACTAATCACAAGGTCCTGTTTGTCAGAGACTGAGGTCGATCAAAGGTAAGATTTTTTGTTGACAGATTTGTGAATGTGAATGCAAACAAGCGTATCCCCTTTCATCAAGAATTTTGTACTGAGGTGTGGGAAGAAATCGGTTGTATTTGGAAACTTGAGAATTATGACATGCCCGGGAAACTACATTATCGTTGCCACTGAAGGCATTCCCGACACAGTGAAGCAAAGTCTTATACTTTTGCGCCCAGACTTTCTTAAACATCGGCCACTTCCCAGAGATAATTTATATCCAAGATGGAAAAAAACCACAGAACTAATACTAAATAGAAAGACCAAGGACGATTTTGAAGTATGGAGTAAGATTAACATGGCTTAGAAATAAGTCCTTTGGAGCTTAAGCACTGACTCTTACTTACACTTGATGACAGACAACGTTCCCCAGATGGCTCGTCTCCAGCGAGTTCGGATCAACCAAGTAAGAACTTTAGAGATGATATTCTTTAGGCTCTCAGGGTCTGAATGCATAATCTCGTCAAACTCTGCAAACTACAGATGAAAGAATTGAGAACAATGTCAAACATCCATCACAAATTACAGGGACGAAGGAAAATCTGCGTTCCCCGTGAACATTCCAATTCCAAGCGGTTCGTAGTTTCATGGTGGCCGAATACTCAACCGCTGAGCGACAGGGACTCGATGGCCAGCTACTTTATAAACAAGGATCGCAAGCGGCAAGCTTCCAGTCCAGCCCTATGCTGTGATAAGGCATGTCCCAAGCCTTTAATGTGGCGATAGGGAAAGAAATATGGTGACAAGGTCAACAAAGCTATACGTTAGAGTATTACAGTTTTGCAATATCTTCCTTTTTCTTCGAAGTGTCATTTAATCACCGAGATCGGAACCTTGCTCAACGGCTTGAGTTGAAGTCATAAGTATAGCACATCGCAAGAAATATGCACAAATTCGTTGCTACTGTAAGAAACACACCACATGGAAAGCGTAGAATGTTGTCACAGTTTAACATTTTTTCTTCTACTCTACCTTGCCAGGGCGAAAAAAGATCTTAGAGAGGCCAAACTTGTAATCTTTGCTATCCATTCCAAGGGCATGAAACAAAGCCTGTCAAGAAAAAAACCATAGAACAGAGTACTGCTTTAACACAGTTTTTAGACTACTTGAGCCTCAAAAGTAACTCATGATTACTTTGATTTTACTTCGCTACGCTTTGTGATTGATCCGGAACACTCGCGCCACGTAACCACCAACAAGATGCAAACCTGAAAAAAATCTCAATCTAGTCACCCCCGTTTTCCTGCTCTACCAGCCCGTTATCTGTTTGAATTCTCATTTGCTTGTTGTGATAAGTACGCTTGTTCTGGCCAAAATGGTTACTTTGGTTTTATACATGATGAAATGTTTTCGTTTGTCTCACCATGTAAGTACTTAAGATATGGTTTACAACGTTTCGGCCACAAACTGCTGTTCCTCATCAGGACATGAGGTCGACTGCTCACTTGTCTCTTAACGAAGCATTACGTTCAATTGTGATTGGCTGATTTTAAACAGTGGCGATTGGCTCATTTCTCCAAAGCAACCGAGTCAAAACACAAACTACTGTATGTAACAATCAAAAGTATTCGTTACTTACCTTGCAGAACATCCTTGGATCGAGTCGCGCAAGTCGAGGTGGTAAATAATCTTTGTACCTAAAAGGCGCACAATAAAAGTTGTTACATATGCATCAACGCCTGATGGACATAGGAGGAATTGCATGATAATAGCGCGCAGGGAAAAAATGTCATCTGGCTTGATGTTGTAAATAATAAAAAGCTTATGTCGTAACCTAATTCATTAAGATCATAGAGCGGAATCAAGATTCCAGTTCTCGGTATTCTTCGTTCTCTAAACCATCTCTACTCACATTTGGTAAAGATCTTTGAATGGTGCCCTTGATGGCCAGCCATCCTGCATCAAATTCAGCACAGAAACCATTCCAGCGCATTCCAGTTGACTCAAAATTGAACCACCTTCAAAATCCCGCGCGGTCATCTTTCCATTTGGTTTGATGCATCGAATAAAACTTGCCCCCTAAACACGTTCAGAAAACACAACAAAATGAACAAAGACAACCACCGGATTGTAGAGCGCAATTTTTCTACGATTGCATTGAGTGAAACTTTTTAAGGTGAATATTACCTGGTGAGTTAGAAAATATATTGAATTTCACTAACCGTTTTGTCGAGTTTCTCCATCAGTTGATTCAATTGTTTCTGTCGATAGATGATAATCAGTAAATTGGGTATTAAAATGGTTTTTGAGGCACAAGGACATGGATAATTTACAGTATTGCTCATTCGACTTTCGTCTCTCCCGTCAAATGAGCCTTCAAAACACATACAAGAACGGTAAATACAGTTTGCACTAAAGGCCCAGTAGTAATTTATCACCTGGGAGGGGAGGGGAGTAAGGATTCCGAGAAGAATAACGTGGTTTTCAGGGAAACGTAGGGGGGGAGGAGGTCAGTAGTCGCCAAGAGGGTATAAAGAGGACTATAGAAAATTGCCTACCAATTATCCGCCAATGAAGGGGGGAGAGGGAGGGGGGAGAGGGAGAGGGGGAGAGGGAGGGGGAGAGGGGGAGAGGGAGGGGGAGAGGGGGAGAGGGAGGGGGAAGGGGAGGGAGGAGAATATTACAAAACCTTATTAGGGAATCAGGTAAATTTGACCGTGACACAGCCAAAATCCTCTGACCCCCTCCGCCCCCTGCTTCACCCTGCGTTTTAAAATGACAACTGACCAGTCCTTAAGCACTTAAATATAAAATGAAAATTGTCAAAAATGAGGTGAACTGTAGTTTTTACCCTGAATTTATTGCCAACACTGATGAATCCAAGTTTCCTACTGCCTGACCGAGTGATAGGAGAACCGAACGACAACGAGCCGATATCGTTATTCTTTGGTGCTACACCTGGGAACAAACTCTTGAGGAAAGAGTCCTTGCTGTCTTGTATTAATTCTTCCAGATCACTATGAAGAGCATCATTATCCTTCTCTATAAAATCCGACTGAAATGAAATCACAGAGCAAGGATTTCACTAAATGAAAAACAATGGTTCTTGTGTAACGAGAGAAGAAAATATCCGGCCAGAAAGTATGAAAATAAAGGTAAACTGAACGTTTTCGTTTTGTTCGCAGTTTACAAACTAAGCTTACTTCATGAAGAAGTAGGCACATCTTTTACCAACCTGATGTGTAAAGCACATTACGAATTGACTGACTGACTGAAACATTTAAGTTACTTCTTGGACAAATCATCAAAGACAGAGTTTTCAGCGATTGCCACACAGGTCTTAAAGCTTTGTGTTAACATTCGCTGACAAAAGAATGACTCTATAACTACCCATGGTAAGTATCTATAAACTTACTGTTTGGTAACAGACAGCGCCGGCAAAATGTCGTATAAGGAAGCCCTCATCGTCTCGCATTTTCTTGTGGTAAATCAGATGAGATTTTCTGGGGAGCTAAAAGGTATGAACGCTTAATAAGTTTATTATAGTTTCCTTTTAATGCAACAAACCCTCATGAACACAGGAAATTAACTTTACATGGGCGTGCTGTACCCAAGAGAGATTTCTAAGGTGCAATTAACCCCTTCTTCGTGAAGAAAAAGTGAACATATTAACATTATAACAACCTGACTTACATTAGAACGCCATCAGGACAATAAGAAAAGAACCACCCAACCCACCCCTGCTAGAACACCCCACCTACTTCCCCTGGTTTAGTTGAGTCTTTATCAACAGAGGCAGCATGACTGGGTGATTAGTTGTCTTATGCTGTTGCTCCTGGGTTCGAGTCCTCTGCCCAACCTTAATTTGCTCCCAGCTCCTTCGAGTGATAACTCCTTAGCTGCGCTTTTCAAATAGCCCACTGATCTATCTACAAAGATATATGAAAGCTATGGAATCAGTTGAGAGAATGGATGATTTGATCAAGTACCCACCGCCAACCGGAAGTGGTTCTTGTGTTTTTGGTGAAGTTCTCGTGTGAAGTGTTCTGCGGTGGGTTTAGGGAGCTTGCTCTCCTCGTCCAAAATGTCAATAATTCCTGTCTTTTTTGCTTCAATAAGGGCTGCAATTTGAAGAAACCATTAACATATGTGCTTAAAAATACAATATTTCCTCACGGTTACTCGTCATATACCAGAAATGAACTTTGGAGCAGAAATACATATTTCTTCTTGGTTCTATTAAACTTAATTCAAGTTTTGGTATTTAACGTTTGTTTGCTGGGTTTGTCTGAGTCCGTCTCTCTGTCTGTCCGTATATCAGGGTTCGTTTCTCTTTAGAAAGTTGTCGGCCAGCTTGCTTTATTCTTTTTAGGTCTTCATTTCGAAGAGAAAAAAATCTAACAGGTGATATATTGAGCAGCAATGCTCCCAGTCCTTTCGAATTGTCAGGCGTGGAACCGTGGGTAGCCTTTCAGAAGGATTTAAGCTTTGATTGATTTTGATGCACCGGTATAGAGCGCTTTCCGATTAAGTGTCGTTAAACCGAAACCAAAGCAATTTCAACCGTCAATCATAGCAAGGAAGCCCCCCTCGTAGTTAAAAAAAAAAAACAAACAAACAACCTGAAGGGCGGGAAAACGCAAGTAACCAAGTCGCGCTTGGTTTTAGTTTTGAATCTGATTGGTAGTCAAAATGACGCAAGTTTTCTGGACCAATCATATAACGAAATTGAGGAAAACCAGAGCAATCCCAGATTATATTCGACACTCAATTGACAGTTGCTCTTAGCAACTTACCAATGCAATCTTGATTGTCCACAAACGTTACAGATTTGACCCCAAGCCCTTCTTTGTCGTACAACTCTTGTTCCTGTGATTTCAAGCAGTGAAAGCAAATCAGAATTTATTGACGTTAGTGTAACCTTTTACAGTAAAAAGGAGTTTTCTTGTTAATTTATTGATGGAAATTCCATCATCACTACTTACCTGTTTCAGTATCCTATCATTAAAGAGTTGCTGCAGCTTTTCATTGCAGTAGTTGATGCAAAACTGTTCAAAGCTGTTGAATTCGTAGTATTCTGAAGATAAGAAAATGTTTGATAAAAAAAAAACAATTCTCAATGATATATTTTTGTATACAGTAGAAAATAAAATGTAAAAAATCTTTGAGCCACTGTTACAGTACAAACCATTATTCATAGCATTATTCCATACCAAGTCATCTCATGTCCAATTTACATTCCTGTTTAGAACATGGTTGTTATCAATCCACTTATTATTCATCAACACCTTGGCAGATCAAAATCCACCATGAGTTTTGAGTTTTCTTTCTTTCTGAGTTTTGCTGCTATGCAATTTTTTTTACTATGTTCTAGATCTCTTTTTGCAGTCCAAAGAAGACGATATGTTCGCTAAATATTACATATTATATAAACGGCAGAGTTTAATAAGGATTTCCAGCCCTGAGACAAGCCGTAACTGGACACGTGCAAAATTACAATAATTTTCTCACGTGTGTTTGATATGACCAATCAGCTGCTAACACGTCACTCGCCTTTCGCGCCACTCTGACAGGTTAATAAATGAAGGGCAAGGCGTTCACCATTCTCAATCTAAGGAGAGCTGAAAACTCCAAGAGAAATTCCGTAACTAAGCTTGCCCATGTATCAATTCCTATTAAATATAAATTTTTATCTTTAACCAGAAACCTTGGGTATCATAGACTATCAAGTGACAATGGTAAGAAATATGTAATCTGTTCAGCTCACCAAAGCCAGCGATGTCCAACACACCAATGTAAGTAAAAGAATCTTTAAAAGGGAAGCACTGATTGATCTGGCCAACAATATGATCAAACAGTTTGGTGTAGAGAGCTTTTGCCAAAGCATCTCTAGCAGCACAGGCCTGTTCCGGTTTAAGGGGAACTCTGTTTAAACAACGAAAAAACGAAAGGCACCTGTGAGTGACACATGGCTGGTTAAACCATTTCCAAAGTAGACCCTCTTCCTCAACTAAAGTTTTTGTTAATGAATGATATTTCTATGAGGAACATTCTTCCAATTACTGAGTATAATACTTATAACTGTGCATTAAATATTCACTTGGCTTTGATAGTCATAATTTAGTCTAACGGCAGTGAAAATCACCCACACCTTCCACAAAAACAACTGCACCTGGCAAAATACTCCCTATGGTAGATAGCTATTTAGAGCTTTAGATTGTATTAATAGAAGAAGTTAGGGGTAACCTTTAAAGTTTGAAAAGACTTGCAAATCAATCACGAGCTAAATGCAGTTAAAAACGAAACAGTTTTGATGTAATTTTGTAATAACTTGGTGACGGTTTTTTCTATCAGTAATGGCAATTTCAACTTAACCGCTGGTGAAACCAAAAGAAGATTGACAATAGCAGCAAAAGCACTGAGTAAAATTAGAATTATGGGTGACAGGTTGATCAGATAAATGTTAAGAGAGCACTAATATCAAAGGCATTAATATTAATTAATTCTTAAAAATGATGAGACCTTATAATAATATTAACTGAGGCAGTAGCCATGATAGTTATCACTAATTCAAATCAATAATGATCTTTTCATTATTGATTAAGGTAAAATGTGTTACTCAATCAAACTGGAATGTTGCAGTACAATATTCCCTGTTGATGCTGTCCACACCTCATGTTTGACCCTCCAGCAGACATCGTCCTTGTAGTTAGAGACATCTTCAGCTCTTCAGACGACACATCTAACAGCTTAGCAGCAGTATTCAATGAGTTCATACTTTTAGGTGATACTACAGAGCCACCTTAAAATAAAAAAAAAACCCTTTAGAAAGGAAAATTTCCTAAAGAAGAAAGTTCATCCAACCTAGTATTAACTATCATGATGCAAATCATCCAGAGTGTGATTTTACTGACAGGGCCTATGGGAGAGACAACTTTACAATCACAACAACACATTAATTTTCAGTTACATTTGCAAATGAAAATTATGTGATATATTATACCTTCTGTGTCTCCACTGTCCTCAAATGAAATGTTTCCAACATGAAGCACAGCAGCAACAACTCTGAAGATGTTGGCTTTCTCTTCTCCTGAAAAACCCACTCTGTTCATGGACTCATCCATTCTACGATAATCTGATGCATCATCAAGATTAGGGTCTGTGATTGAACCCTGCTTTAAGTACTGCAACATGAAAAAAATCAAACCCATTGTGAACAGCATTCTAGAGAGAAACATTCTATTTGTGAAGTAAAACAAAAACTTGTCTGAGAAATTGTCAAGAGTTTGAAAAACTTTCCAATATTCTCCCAACTCCCCTCAAATTTAGAGTGTTGATGATTCCATGAAAACTCTGAGATCCCTACCATTCACTACATACTATAATTCATTATGAAAATGAAATTTTTTATTCAGAAAAACAGCCCATCATTTTTGATCTGGGTTTATACATATTAACTGCATATACATATCCTGTGAGTTAACCCTTTAACCCCTAAGAATGACTAGAATCTAATAACAGCATTGTTCCTGAAATAAAAATGAAGGCAATGAGAATGAATCAAAGGATCAACAATTTAGGAAGCTCCTGATTGATGACAAATTCTCTTAACAAGTACCATAAGACATGTTTAAGGATTAGTATTGAGAATATGTATACTGATGCTAGCATGTAAAGGGTTAGGTCATTGTAGGTTAGACATCACTAATGTAGCAAAAAGAGTTTGTTTAACATACCAGAAAATCTTCTGCCTTCGTAATGCCAAGTTTTGATTTTATTTGTTGAGGTGCTCCTGAACAAAGTCTGTAAAACACATGGTAATTTCTCTCCCCTTTACTTTGCTTGCAGATTCGAGATTTCTCCAAAAGATAATGTGAAATGAACCCACCAACAACTGTGACCTGTTGATCACAAAAAAGTAAACAGCTGCTTTTTGATCAAACAAAATGGATATTATAATTAAGTTACTGCTGGCTGATTTTAAACCTAACAGTCAAGTAATTATGTTAAAAAGTAAGGAATAGCAATTAATTTGAAGGCAATAAATCATTTTATATTAAGCTGAAAGCTTCAGCTTCATTTCCCTCTTTGGGTATTCTTCTACCAGGAGAATTACAGTGGGGGCAGGCGAGGGGGGAAATTCTGGCTCTCACTAACCACTCCCTCATGATACTTGAAAAACACTTTTTAGGTCAGTTCTAATATATATTTTTCAAAACAAACCTTCTCGTTGAAGTGAACTTCAACATACTTTCCAAATCGACTACTGTTGATGTTTCGCATTGTTTTGGCATTTCCAAAGGATTCAAGTAAGGGGTTAGCTGTTAAGGCAAGGTATAAAAAAATTTCAGAAGATATTGATTTGAACAATTCATCACTAAACAGTCATGTAAAATGTAAATTATTTAGTTGCATAACTTTTTAATGTTTTACCTTCAATAATCCTCTGCTCAATGCGGCCCTGATCACCAGATCCCCAAGACTCTGTCAGATATCTGCGAAATGTGAAACAAAACACTCATCAGTATTGTATATAAAATTAACCTCCTCCTGTGCCTATGCCTTTGAGTATATATCAGTGTAAGAATGACCATGGCATAGTAAACAAGATTTGAAACATATACCTTAAAATGTACTTGGTTGATTCTGTTTTTCCCGCACCACTTTCACCTGAAACAAGAAATTATTCAATATTACTATATACAGAGTTGCTAGTGTTTAGAGAATCACATCATTTACACGATTATTTACCAAATCAAAAGCTTGGCTGAGATGTGCCAGTTTAAGTATATTAACTACCATTCAAGATACAGAGTACACTCACCACTAACAATCAAAGACTGGCTCTGTTTATATGCTCTCATATCTCTGTAAGCCTTGTCAGCTGAAAATCAACATCAAAAAAATGAAAAATTACAAATTACTTTTTCAGATATGGAAAAATTGGTTCCATAAAGACTAAAGCTTGGTTAAAATATCTAAAAATTTGAAACAGAAGCTTCACTGTGTGGGCTGATTCACCAGTAAATAGTAGAGAGGTTAACTCTTTGATCCTTATTAAGTGTGACCAGCATCTAATTTCTCCTTACAACATCACCCTTGAATCAAACATTAAGGTCATGAGAATAAAGGACATGATCACCAACTAAAGAAGCTCTTGATTGTTAAACAAATTCTCCTTGTCAGCATCTTAGGAAAAGTGAGGAGAACAGCAAGGAGAAAATGCATACTGACATAAGTGCATTAAGTGTTAAAGTATCTGCATCACTAAGAAAAAGCACGAAGAAGGATGGTCATTGCATAATTATATATTATACCAGCAGTTACTGGCCATATACAACCATGTAATGGTCTTTTTGATAAAGATTGGCAAAATTTCACCCAACAACTGATTTAAGAAATAAAATTTTCCCTAAACATAGTTATAATTATATTTCATGCTTACCAATAGCAAACACATGAGGTGGCAAAACCCCCAGTGACTTTCCATGATATTCTTTGATTCTTTCCTTTGAGTAAAGTTCTTTAATTTCATGATAAGGGTTGACAGCAAGAAGAATATTGGCCACATAAGTCTGCAGAATAATGAAATCATAGGATGATGCTTGCTTGGTGATAAAGCTGAAAGTTATCAAAATTGATTATCTGCAGCAAATAGAGACAACAACACACTTCTTTCCTGGTGGCCAAGGGATGCTGTTTTAAACACATCCACATCATAGGATCCAATTACAATAGACTTAATTTCAAAACAACAACAACTTTTTTTTTAATCTTTTGTATCTATGCTAATCAGTTTGAGCTCTCCCTGCCTCAATTGCATCATAAGAATTCAAGAAAACTTTTAGTGCCCACTGAGGCAACAAGGACTCACAAATACAAAGTGTATTTCTGCTATTTTAGAAAAATGTGTATTAACTTTGAATAAATTGTCTCTTCCAACTTTTATCATTACCATATGCTCTAGGATGCAGAGTACAACACAATGACCTTAACATAAATTATTATAATCACCAAAAAAAATACAAAAGCAAATAAATAAGATCAAAATTCACCAATAGCAACCTAAACCTTAAATTTCCAAAGGCGATTAACATGTGACTTCTCCCTAAAATGTCTAAACATTATCCAGCAAACAGGTCATGAGAATATTCCAACTTATCAGGTAGAAGTTGTTATCTTGATCTATCACCAAATTCTCATAACTTATTTACAAGGAAACGTGTAGCAGCTAGAGAGGAGAATTAACAATCAGATCTTGGGAGTTAAAGAGTTAAGGGAGTTTTTAAGAGTTTTACAACAAAATGTTTTGCATAATGCTTTGAAAACTCTTCATTCTCAATGTGTTATTGATGGATTCAGTGACCATGATAATTACATATCAAGTAAGCCAGGTAACCATATCAGCTTCTTTTCAGGACAAAGAATAAGTGTCTATTTCAAGCATGCACTTGTGGTAAGCAAGAGTTGAAAATTGTAAGGCTCTATAATTTTAAGAGAACGTACATATATTTTGTCTTTCTGGTATCTAATTTTCAAGTTGTGTAACAAAGTGGCTTCATTGAGAAACATCAAAGAGCCTGAAAAAAATTAGAAAATAAAAATGCTATCAGTACATCAGTTCAGTATCATTTGTTCACAACAGTTCAGACCATAACAAAGGGGTCGTGTTAAGTTTCTATAACACAAAGCAGCCTAAAGTATTCATTACTTTTATTGGAGAAGAAATTGAAGTTACCCTAGGAGTTCACTGCTATGCATTTAAGGGCCGAACCTTGGATAAGTCTGATGTCATCTTCAGAACATTTTCCAAACACAAAGCATGACAAGTGTTGCCTGGCTTGGTATCAAATTCAGGCAGGGTTAAGGGTGCTAACCTTGAGCCTTGCATCTCATGTTCACCAATCGCACATACTTAGACATAAATGTATGTTTGTACTTAAGTTATCTGGATGACTGTCCATGCACAAAGATTGCCCTGATCAGGATGCCCTTCCCCCTGATCTACACTGAACAAAAATCAAAGCTGTCCAGTGATAAAACCCTTTAGTGTTAATGTTTAAAACAATGAAAATAAATATGTAATAAAAGTGAAATTTGGCTCAGTTTATCTCACAAGCTCACAACAGCTATAAAAACATGACTAAGCCCTTTAATCATTATGCCATAAAATATTCAGCAAAAATTGACTGAACAAAATAGCCATAAAGTATATTAGGGTTTGCTTAGCTATGAACCGTTGCACCAAGTTTACTTTCTGAAGTTTCTTTTTTTCCTTCGCTTTTTTTCTACTTTTTTTCAGATTTTCTTGTGTGTCATAATGGAGTAACGTGTGGTTTTTCTGGTTTTCATTTCTTTTTATTTGACCCACGTACCTAGCTAGTGGTCGGAATCCTATAAATTTTTTACCGAAATTTTCTTTATATTTTTATTTCTCGCAATTTCAACCCATCTTTCAACTAAGTGTTGGCGATTTACATGATTTAAACGCTGACAGCGTGTAATAAATTGCAAGATTTTAAGATGCCAACACTGTCTGAATCAATTACAACAAGGAAATTCAATCAGTTTCTCCGAAAACATAGGGTAAAACATCTGTCAGAAAGTTACGAACTCACCATCACCTACGGATTGTGAAAATTTTATAGGCCAACAGACACTTTAAACTACGGGAAAATTATTTTAAAATCGACAAACTGATTCACCACAAACACTCAAAAGTCTAAATGTAAATCCACCAAGTTGATTCCTTACAACTGACACCTTACTGCTGGAGTTTTTTAAGAAAATAAACTTACAGTTATCCTCAAAATCTCTCGTGTTATCCTTCTCCGATGGGAACACTCTATCGTATGGAGCCGTTACAACCTACAAGGAAGTTCAAATTATATATTTCTCTTCATGATTTTAAACAGAAAGCATGGTTCTTCGCGGAACGCGCAAAATAATGCGTAGTGACTATTCCAGCTATTCAAACCTTTCCTTTCGCTCCATCCACCTCAACGCTGATCGTGTCCGATCCTAAATCGACTATTTCGCCCAAACGAAATCCATGTTCGTTATCGGGGACCCAGACCTTTTTTCCACCATCCATAGCGTTAGACAAGGTCTAAAACACGAAGCACATACAAAGATATCTGAAAAGGAAGTATTCTAACAACTCCACCAAAGAGCTTAACCACCAACTGGCGACTTTATTTTTCTTGCCGGTTCGCATTTGTGGTCACGTGAAAAAATCATATGACGTCATAGCAACAAGGACTTACCCTTCCGGCTAAGGGTGAAGTCAAGTGTAGTGAAGTGTTGTGTGTTATACGGCTTCAGTTTCTTGGTACAATACAAAAAATCAAATTAATTTTAACGTTTCTGTAAATAGAAAGAGAGTGAAGAATGGCAAGGTTAAAATTTGCTTTTGAAGACGTATTTACCAGCTGTATTGAAACGTGCATGGAAGGTTTAACAAATGGAAAGAATGTTTATTTGATATACGAGAAGCTTCTTTTTTAATTTGAAAGGGAGCTTCGGATTGTTTTATTGAATTACATCACTCTACGAGATTTTGGGATTCTAGAGAAAACTACAATAGAAAAAGTTTAGAATGCAAACGCACGAAAAAGACACGACGTCACGACTGATCGCGGTTTTTGTAATTGTGCTCTTTGAGGCGCGAAATAAGCGGCAAACCTTCACTGTGCGTATTCGCAGCTCTGCGGGCTACATAATTTAGTGTTAGCAACTGAGTTGAAAACGTAAATTGGCCACCGTAAAGAGTTAAAAGGCTGACGTTTCGAGCGTTAGCCCTTTGTCAGAGTGATTGGAGGAATTGTGGGTTGTGTGTGAGTTTATATGCAGAAAATAGAGCTACGCTATTGGTTGGAATATGATGACGAGAAAAAAGAATAAATTAGTTGAACGAAAAGCGCTCGTTGATACCGGGGGATTAAGAGTGCCGATTTGGAAGATAAATTTTTGTTCTGGTGTTTTGCGGCTTTCCGAACTGCGGACTACGGTTTGTTGTGTGGGTCGGACGTTTCCCGCCTTTTACAGCACTGTAGAATTACTTGACGTGGGCAGAGGTGACACACTATCACACCTAACCCTACGACATAATTTACTGCCAGTATTTATTTCCTAACTTAAAAGTCTCCTTATAAATAAAACCCCTCTCCTGATTTAACTCACAACTTCAGAGAAATTTTGGGAACACTTTTGTAAGACATCCAATATTTAATACATCTGTAATGTCCTGAAAGTTACTTCAGTGTTAAATCCAATGCTCTATTAAAAAGAATTGAAAGTGAAACAAGCTTTGCTCTTCTATTTAACCAGAATTAAAGTAGACTAAAAGCCCCATAATCCACCCCACAAGTCATTAGAAATCGGCGACAAAAAAAACATTCAGGTGAGGAGGAACTTTTAAGAAATTCGCCCAGTTGCGAAATATCACTATCGAAAATGTAGTCCGCTACTCGAACCACTCAATATAGCCCACGTAAATATCATTAAAACACCGAAAAATTACCTATCCTGACCACATAAATTTAAAAAGGGCATATTCACAAATTTGCTTTCAAAATCGACAATTTGGGTTTGAAAAGTGTCTTTAGGGTTATAAATGTCTTAGCAATTAACCCCTGTAATTAACCCCTGACTTTATTATTCATATCTGCTTCTTCTGAGAATTTTTACCAGGGTAACAGGAATCCCACCCTCCAAAGTGACGTTCCAGTTGCTTCGCAACAGCGATTGACAGCCTGTCATTATTTCTTCCAGCCACGATCTGTATGCCCAGCGGCAGTCCATTTCTGTCAAGTCCAAGAGGGCATTGCGTGACTGGAAGATGAAGCACGTTGAAAATAGAAGTGTAACTGAAATTAAACGGGGCAAGGGATGGGCGATGATGTGAAAGCGCCGTACTTGGGTGAGAGGGATAAAGCAAAATGGCGTCTTCCCCGAGAAGGGTTTGAATTTCTTCTCTTAATTCGACTCCCATTTTCACAAAGTTTGATGCCACATCCGGCAGGCAGTTGGGCAAAGGCGCTCGAACTTGTTCAATCCCCGCGATCGTCAGGGTGACGTAATGATATTTTGAATAACCCAGGACATACTTGAAAATTTCGGTGAACGGGTTTATTGCTAGTGCCTCAGACTCATTGCTTAAATTCTGTGATGCGAATCTGTTATTCTCAGCTGCATGAACTGTAGCAGACCAGATGAGAGGAGAATACTGAAACAGGCTCATGTGAGTATCTTGAACTGTTGCATCATAGCGCTCCTGTAAGAAAGAGCAGACTTGTTGTAGGGCCATCAGAATGTCGGGTTCCACAGGTGAAGTCAGGAAAGGGCCCTCTATGTCCAAAGTGTAAACTTTGAGAGATGAGAGATCTATTTCTTCGTCCAATCGAAGTTCATGGAGTCGAGGGCCTGCCATAGCCTTCAGCATTAAGATGAGATCGTCGGCGTACCTACACAGTGGTCCCATAACTAGATACTCGTCGAAGGCCTCGCTAGTGCCTTTAGGGAAATGTCCTTGATTTGGGACTATGGAAGGACTTGGCTTATGACCAAATATTCCGTTGAAGAATGCGGGCATGCGCACACTTCCACCTGCAGGAGAGTTGGCACTATACTCAGTCATGTAAGATCACGTAAAGAGTAAAGGAAAATTTGAGGATGTACGTTAAGATCAAAAGTACTTCTAAATTGCATTTCGATGTCAGCAGGTTGATATCTCAAATTAGCAAGTATGATCAGCATCATTAGTGAAGTTTCTATTAAGTCAGGGACTTCAGAAATTTGTTCTTTGGCCTTTGAGCGAAAGGCATTAACCGTTTAACTCCCAAGATCGGATTGTTAATTTTCTCCTCTAGCTGCTGCACTTTTCTTGATGAATAAGTTACGAGACTTTGGTTTTAGATCAAAATAACAACTACCTGAGTTTGAATATTCTCATTACCTGTTTGTTGGATAATGTATGGATATTATAAAGGGAAAGTTACATGTTAATCACTTCTGGGAATTATAGGATTAAGGTCTTTCGAAACGTATATCTCGGAATGACCGAACCATTTGGCATTTTGCATGCATCAGTGGTAGTTTACATTCAAGCTGACCAGAGATTAAGACAGATATGAATATTAAAGTAGAGAATACGGTTTCAGAGACAGGATGTAAAAGTATTTGCCGGAGTCCAGCATGTTTAGGCGTAGAATTTCGCCGCTTTTATCACTACTAGGATCCCAATTCCTAACGCTGGACTGCTTGATGCAAGAAAGGAATATTATAAAGAAGGACTTTCTGCTAAACTTCATAATCTTTTTTTCTTTTCTTTTTCTTTTTTTTTTTTTAATAAGAAATTTGTTGGGGGTCCAATTGCACGAAGATGATAATAACTAAATTTAGAACAATTGTCAAATTTCGGGTTGCATTTCATTATACAGCTACATTAGCTTGCCAAGTAGCCACAGGACGGCTTTGAGGTACACGTAGCTCACAAAAATAGGATTTTTATACGTGGTATATCAAATAAGAAGATTTTGACGGTCATGGCACAAAGGTTAACAGAATACATCTGACACTTCAAAAACAATAAAATCACGCTTGGTTAAGTCTGAAAAGGCAGTGAAAGTCATTAGAATGCAACACTTGAGCGGTGATACTTTAAGTCTTAAGTTCTAAAGATTTCTTGCGGTTAAACAGGTGTGTTTTGTGAAATATCTCCATGTTTTGAAGACCTTGCCAAAACTAAGCCTAAGCCTTAAAGATCTCTAAAACTCTTAGAAAAAAAAAAAAAAAAAAAAGGAAAGAAAGAAAGACTTTGTGAAATGAATGAAAATACCGGCAGGTCAGAATGTGAGAGCCCTTTGCGATAGCGCTCACCGGCAAAAGCAAGTAAGAAGGACTGGGAATTACATAGGCCAGCCGTTGATTAAAACCAAAACATCCTAGATAGAATGAGCATGCAACTTTTCGCTTTTTTCTGCCTGCTACTATACAATTTTTTTTTAACTCTAAAGAATGAAAAAGTGCGTCACAAATCGTCAATGATTGACGATATGAGCCACTCCACTGAATACGATTATAATAATACAATTTTTAGTACGTCCAAAATAATTCCGACGATCCACTTACCGACATCAGAACCAACACCGCACACTGAACCAGCCGCGGAAATAATTGCCCCTTCCCCGCCAGAGCTACCTCCGGCTATTTTCGATGTGTCGTAAGGATTATTTGTTCTTCCGTACACGTTGTTAGCTGTCTCCCACCACATACACAACTCGCTACAGTTAGTGACAGCGATCGGAATCGCACCGGCTCGCAAGAGATTTTCAACAACATTCGCATTTTTAGTAGCAATCGTGTTCTTACGATCCACAAGTCCGGCTGAATGAGGGAATCCTTTACATGCAAGTGATTCTTTCACCGTTACAGGAACTCCAAGCAAAGGTTTAGTCATTAAAACAGATTTTTCGTCGTTCAATTCGCTTGAATCGAGAACCTTGTCAATACCTCTTGCCTCTTCCAAGGCTTCGTGGAATCGATCCGCTACAACAGCATTTATCAAGGGATTAACTTCGTGAATCCTGTCGATAAAGGCTTGAATCACTTCCACACAAGTCATCCTTCGTTGTTTTATATACTGCACAATATCTTTGGCTGGTAATTTCAAAATCGGATTGGAAGGCCCGCTAACAATAGTACCTCGTTGTTTTCCATAAATAAACTCCGATAATCGAACACTGAAATCCCACAGAAAACCAACAGACTCTAACGTCCTAAATACCAGAGAAAAAACCGATAGAAAAATCCTGATCAAACCCATCTCGAGTATAATTGTTTACACGGCAGCGCTGTGAACAACACGTCATAGAAGTGTCCTTTGTTTGCCGTTTAGAGCTGTTTCAGTATATATGAATTTTTAAATACAATTTAGCATATTTCATGCTTGCCGTTTCCGCGGTTAACAAATCCCTCAATTCATTGGATCAAAAGACCTAAACACATTCCCGGAGGTTTTTCCGAGACTTCCTATTCCTCTGTCTCTAAGTAATTTTACGTGACCTCTCTTCAGTGAGAAACATCCACAAACGTTGACAACTAACTTATTTGATGATCGCTTATCGCAACCTTACAAAAAACACGCGATCTCTATCAGGCGCAACTGTTCTCTGTTCAACTCTACTTTCTCAGAAGTGTTTCTAACTTTCCTATTCCCTCGAATCCTAATTACATATCCATCCTATGACTGAGTAGAAACAATAAACACAAAGGTGTTCATTGGTTAAGTGAGGAGTAATCATTTATTCGTTCAATAGCAACATTCGACATTGCACCAAAGCAAATTATCACGAACGTTCACTAATTCGAACTATGGATTGCCATGAACTCTGTGGTAGCAGGGCTGTAACAGTCTTCAAAATACTTTCATAGATAAAATAAAAAACTACACTACTAATGACCCGGCTAAAGATAACTTGGTAAAACACTCAAGTTGGAGAACAGGCCATTCCTGCTTCTCGCTCTTCAGGGGGTATTGTTTCCCGAAAAAATGACCGCGAAGGAGTTAAACATCTGCTGTTGGGTACAATTACATTCATGTCTGATCCCCACGAACCGTTAGCCTTTCGGCCTTGGGACTAGCTTTAAAAATCGAAACTTGAAAAAGCTAAAACGTTAAAATGATATTCTCTAAGGGTTGGCAAGAGTGAATCCGGCCCAACGCACTGCTTTTCTTGAAGATGTTCGCCCTCTGACTGTGACATAATGTAAAATATATTACGAAAAGCTATAAAAATAATGGTAAATAAGTTTCGAAATATCACGTGTCAAATAAACTTTTTAATGTTTTGCCACACTTACTCCGTGTTCATAAAATAAAATTGACTGCCTGGAATCGAAAAGAAAGGCACTGTTCATATTTCCAACAACGAGCAGTTACGAAACTTTTTAGAACAGAATTTACCCTACAACTAGCGATTCTTGCAGGCCACCGCAGTGGTCCTATATTTTCTTTGAATGACGCAAGTACGTAGTTTGGTTTCTCTTTGTTTAAATTATCTTTATACGCTCTCTTTGATTTCAGTTTTAGACAGCTGTGAAGTGTGCCCTTAAATATTCAGTCTGTTAGTGGCTTCAAAATGAAGGCTTCGATTTGCTGTTTTAGCAATCTACCGAACTGCACACAATCATAATATACATAATGAATCATTAAAGATATTTCTATCACATGTTATATCCTGTTAACTGTCCTTGGAAAATTGGACTTTTCATGATGGAAGAGCGAGTGATATAGATCCATTAATAAACCTGAATAAGAAAAATACTCTGAACGATTTCGATCGTCAAATTAAACACTATATTGATTGATCTCATCTGTCACTCCTCCTTGGAGATAAAAAGTCAGACATTTGCACCTTTGTTTCAAGCATAATTATATGATATCTTTAATAATGGCTCTTAAAAATACATAACAAACAAAAATACAGCCTGCCCCAAGTGATATACTCCAAATCAGTGGGACTACGTCATCTTTGGAGCAAACTGCATAACTTCCTCTCTGGCAACTAAGCAAATGTCTCCAACACTACAATAATTTTGATGCAAAATGAACCACAATTTAAGACTATAAGATAGCTGATTTAAGTGATACATTTTATTCTGACACTTTTCCATAAGTATTAGGCGAAATGCATCAAAACCAGGGTCACCGAGGCTTGGAACGTGACTAAATCGACTTTTTGGTATCGCCGTATTTCACTCATTTCCGAGGGCTAACGCACAGTAAAAAAAGAAATGAGCACGTATCAGGTCCGTTGAGGCTGAAATCGAACTCCATTGAGCAATTAACCTGATTTTATTCTTTCAGAATATACAAGAGTTTGAAAACAAAATTTGTTTACAGTTCTGATGTCATAATGGTGGTTGAGAAATGATTTCGCTTGTTTCAAATACCAGGCATCACAAGGTACTCTACGACAAGCGATTAATTTCCCCCACCTTTATGTTCGCTTCAAAATTTAGTAATGACCTCTACTGAAGTAACATTTAATATCAAGATGATAAAATATACTCAGTCGTAAGCACATCCACTGAGGAACGAGACAGTTCAGAAGGGCAAGAAGTAAAAGACTAGATACCTTCTCACCGCAAGAGTGATTTGCTGAAGGTTCTTAGTCGAGCGAAATTAATCCGACATCCACACTGTATGTAGTACAGTATTGGTTAACTAATAATCTTAATTGCCCTTCTGTAGTAAATATCAGTTTAAAAATGTTCTTGCTGCACTTTGATCATACACGCAATAGCGCATATGAGATGATCTGACAAATCAGAAAGGGTTGAAAAGCACAGCCAATCAAATAAAACTCCTCACGCCATCGTTGTCCGTCACGTGATCTTAAGCCCTCCCTTCTTGTCAATTAAACATTTCTACACTAGCCTGTGACTAGCTCTTTGTGCCATCCCAAAATTTTGGACTTTTCTGACAGTCTCCTTTCACAAACCGCTTAGAACATCTCGTATAAATAAATGAAAAAATAGATTTTACTTTAAAAAAACTACCATTCCATTATGAATTGTAGTAAGGACACTGTGGTGTCAACAGTTTGCTGTTGTAGTTTGAAATCTCTGTTTTTTTCCCCAGAAACGAAAGCTACGAAGTACATCCCAATTCCTGATCTTTTTTTTTTCATCCACTCAAAATCTAGAAGGCCACTATCAAACATTACTAGGCATCTCTAGCATTTCAGATCTAAGTTACCCACTCAACAAACAACTAAAATGGAAGAAGCCAGCAAAGATATTTCTAATTACCTTCTTAGAATAAGACACAATTTCTTGTTGTCGAGCGCAGACTTGGAAATGTTACAATACTTGCTTTCTTAAGGATAACAAAAACAAAACAATATTGAAATGCAAAAGTTTCTCAAACTTGAAGCATTGTAATATTTGTTTTCCTCATTCAAATAAAAATATTCTCGAGACATTTTCATTTAAACGAGACAGCCAAAATGATTTAGAATACTGGGAAACGAGAGAGATAAATTTCCAAATCACTCCAAAAATTTAAAAACGACAACAACAATTTGTACTCTTAAGAAAGCTGTCAACATAAGATAATAAATATAATCAGGATTAACCAACAAGGGATTCTCCTCTATTCAATACTAGTTTTACGATTCTAACTCTATACATCACGTGGTACATCGCGTCAAATATCGTCACGTGGTACATCACGTCATATACTTCATTATTGCTCTTAATGCGTACAGAAGTTCAGCCTGAAGGCGAGACTCCAACAGTAAAAGGTTGATATGAACCTAACAGTGAAATGAAGATTTATTCAAGTTACTGATGTGCCATGCTGAGATGCGAAGAAATAGGAAATAAAATAACTTCTCAGATGAACAGTAACCCCAGGAGACGAGGCAACGTTCTTTAAATAATCGCCACAGGCATTCCACAATTACCCCAATCAATATTCACATTTAGTTCCACTAAGTCCCACCTCACTAACTGTAAGGCCACAGCATTACCAACACAGAGAGAACGGTCATAGATACAGTATCTGGATTTTGATTTCAATTGTTAGTTTGTTTGCTTTCTCTTTTTTTTTTTTCTACGCAGGATTGGACAGATCATACCTTCTCTGAATGGTCAAGGTCTGGCATAAATCCCATGTAGTCATCAACAGTAACTTTTTCGGGACGGCAAGCAACCTATAAGAAATATCAAAGGTCATTCCCCTCTTTGACTGATAAGTTCTATTCATTGTTAATGCATAATTTTTTTCAAAAACTCAGTTGTCTACAGTCTATTGACCCTTTGACTCCCTCAAAGTGACTAGAATCTACTTCCTCCTAGTGATATCACCCCTGAATCACACATGAAGGATATGAATCACAGAATAAAGGAAATGATCACCAACTAAAGAAGCTCTTGACTGTTAAACAAAGTCTCCTTGTCAGCGACTTAAGAAATGTATAGAGAACAATATAGACAGTATGCATACTGTTGTTTGGAGGCAAAGGGTTCAAAGGAAATTTGGAAAATGACAATTGAAAGATAACAATCACTAACCACTTTAATGTACTTTTTAAATGGTCTTTCCAACAGCTTGTTAACCTACAAGATAAAAAAACAGCTTCTTGAAACTGCATTATTTTTAAAATGACTATTACTTTCCATTACCTAAATTTCAAGTCTCAGATTCACTTATACATTACCATATCTCACAGCAAACTAGAACAATACATCTCTTCTAGCATGAAACATGCACCTGCTTTTTTATTTTTTTCTATGTGGATTGTGAAAATGAAAATTTACCTCAGTGTATAGGTAATCATCATGATATATGCCAAAAACCAAATGAATATAGTTCCAAGTAGCTGTGCGAAAAGTTGATGTGTCCACATTTTCCACTTTACCCAACCTGAGATCATAACAAAATGATGTTCACCTATGCATAGTGTTTTATAAAATAATTATAAATTCTGAAAAAGTGTTGCTGTTAAATATGACTATGCAGCTTTTGTGCAAATTTCTTTTGGTGAATTTTTCATTGACAAATGAGTGCTTGTTCTTGCAAATACTTGCTCAGCGGTCAATTTAAGCAATGCATTCTTGTCAAAGACAAAGGCCAAAAGTGAACTCTAATGTTACTCATTTTTCCTCTTGTCTCTAGATCAACCCTGTAGAAAAATCATCTCTTGTTTATGGCTTGTGCAGGTATTTTTGTTTCATCCCATAATCACTAGAAGCAGATTGCAACATGTAAATTTTTTCCATTTGCCATAAAAGTTATGATGCGCCTCTCCAATATCTCAGATTTCATTCAACTTCAACATGGACTTTATCTTAACACTGACACTCAGATCTCATAAAATAAAAATCTGGTTTGAAAGTTGCACAGTGGGGTGAGACCACCAATTACTGACTACTACTTCTGACAAAGGATAAACATTGCTTACGTGTTATACGTCAGGTTGAATGCACAGCTAAATTTATCGTCCA